GGAAGCGTACCCCTAAGCCCGTAATATAGTTTTATGGGCTGAGTGAGCGTCCGCAAACACTTGTAGTTTATTTTTTATGACTTCGCTTTCATCTTGCCATTTCCAGCACCTCTCGCTCTGCAGTTCACAATGTTCACAGGGCTTTTTAATCTCTGTCGCTGTGATGCATTGACACTGCGTCTGCAGCCCATAGCTCCTCAGGTGATCAGTGCTAGTGATTCTCCCGTAGCAACTGCCATCTTTTTTTTTTTATGCCAGTGTGGAAAAAATAAATAAAGGGCATGCAGGCGAAAAGGCCACCTTCATTCCCCCTGCTCAGTGCCTGCTGATTATTTATCCTCACTTGTTATAACCAGAACTGTCTTGATTTTCTTGAGTCTTGACTGCAATCTGTAGCTATCACAGAGCACAGCTGCAATGAGAACAACCTTCGATGTCCTGGATTTTACGAGAATGATGAGTACAAATGAGAGATGTTGGGGCTTGTCACATTAACTGTCTTTGTCATTTCCTATCCCTCCTTTGCGGCATCAGTGGGACTTCACCACAGCAAGTGGGTGCCTGTGGGTGTTTACCTGGACCCTCTTTTCATTCGCCCTCCTCTGTGCAATCCTCCGATCACAGGTAAATTAAAGAGCTTCTTTGTTAACCAGTGTGTTTGCAGTGGGAACGGGTTTTAAATGAATTGCTGACAGACCGGAAGTATAGCCTCAGAGTCTTTGGCATTAGAAAGCACAGGCCCGTGTGCTGAACAGACTATACAGCAGAGAGCGTAAACTCAAACCTCTTAGGATTTAAATGTACACTGGCGTTCACTGCGTCGGCTGTTAGTGTTGCCAGCGGGTATAAATAAGCATTCTGCAGATCTTAGGTTGTAGTTGTACTCTGACTGCCTGTAAACCAATCAAAACAGCCAGAATGACCAAAAAAAAAAGTTTCTGGCTTAATTACTGCCTACAGCAAACAAGCAGCATGAAAATGTTTTGTTTTAAATTTGTGTTACTGAATGCCTCTCCTGAGTGTGTGTGATTCTTTTGCAGTATGTTTACATCGTATATGCCTGCCTGGGAACACTGCTGTTTTCTTTAGTAAGTACACTTTGGTAACAGAAAGTTCTTTTCCGCAGCACTTTTTTTCTTTTTGCTATCAAAAACAGAATTAAAATCCCCAATGGAAATAAAACGAAACCACCATCAAAGAGGGCTTATTGTCAAGTGAGTGCATATGATGCAACACGCGATCCCAGGGCGAAGCAGCCTGATACCAGTTGTTAGTGAAAAGAGAGCAACTTTGATGCCCCTGTGCCCTTTAATTTCAATTATGCACCACTTAACAGTAGTAGGCTTCCTTTTCACAGCCACCTCTCTGTTTGCCTTTGGCATTCGCAGCAAATGTTGTGACCCATCTCGTCAGCCAGTGGAACAAAATGCGGCTGCACACAGAGCTGAACAGGCTGTCAGCAGCAAGTCACAACTTATTTTCAGCTGCACAAGTCTGACTCCCGGATTATTTGTGTGGCCTGTTTATCTGCACCGTCCAATCTCTCAGAAATAGGAAATAGTGCCTGCGCTTGCTCGCAGGCCAGTTCTCGTTCTCGATTCACAGATCAGTGCTGAAGCCTCTCATTTTCTGTCCATCTCTCCGCAGTACTTGGTGTTTGACACTCAGATGATCCTGGGTGGAAAACACAGGAAGTATCAAGTCTCTCCCGAGGAGTACATCTTTGCTGCGCTCAACCTCTATTTGGACGTCGTCACCCTGTTCCTCTTCTTGCTGCAGCTCATCGGCATCTGCCGCTGACACTTAAACTCCATGGCAGAATTTCCCCTTAAGATACTCTTCTTGCGCACATGCAATCAATTCGTTGAGTTTGGTAAACATGGACAGCCAGTCTCCCAGACATGGCTTAAGCCCCCCAAAGCAAAAACACTGAAGATCTCCACAGAAAAACTTTTTTTGGTCCAAGTCTAGGCTTAAGCCATGTCTGGGAAACTGAGCCCATGATTCATATTGAATAAGTCTCCAGACATCTGTCAGTATATTCAAGTTTGCCTATGATTGTCGTGTGCTACGCACTGCAGTTTGCTTTATGGATGTTTACTTGTTTATTTTTTTCCTTCAGGAGTTCAGATTTACATACTGCCCTGTTGCACATCTTACATAGAACTACATATACTGAATATTTGTTTCTAAAAATTACTCTTTAACTCACAAACTAGTCACTTAGCTACTTGTTAAATCAAAGATTATATAAAAGTGTTTAATTTTGAATGAAAACCCAATAAAAGAATGAAAATAGTATTATGAAAATAAAACCATCTGCAATATTTCTTTGTCATAAATGACTATTACAAATGAGACAACCACAAAGTAAAACTCAACACATAGTTTATTGGCATCACACACCAAACACTTTTCATATAAAGAGGGAATGTATCAAGTATAAACTATGAAAGTGCAAATAGCATTTCAAGGATTAGTTGCTTTACAATAGAAAATCTCAATGAGTTACAAAATGTTATATACCTTTTTTTTTTAATTTTTTTAATAAATCACCTGAACATATGAGGTGACAGTATAAAGTGTGCCCGTTACATGCACAGCATACTACTAAAGAAAAAGGGCAACGCATGTTATCTCTTCTGATAAACGCACTTCCATTAACCAAGTCCGACAAAGTTAGTTCCATTAACCATATGGCACCCAGACACTTATCAAAGCAATCACTATCTTTAGACTTGGGCTATGTCCACACGTACCCGGGTATTTTTGAAAACGCAGATTTTTCTATGCGTTTGCACCTTTCGTCCTTTCGTGACCTTTTCGGTCACTGAAAACGGAGATTTCTATAAACTCCGGCCAGGGTGGATATTTTCTAAAACTCCGTTTTTGCATTTATGTGTGGACAGAAAAACGGAGAAAATGCAGTGTCAAAGGTGTGCGCCTTTTTTGACGTCACACTGTGCGCCACGTTATTGTTTCGGTGAAATGAATTTCTACAATACTGTTACTGTTAATTGTACTCTCTGCAGTGTTTAAATGCTTACATATACACACACAGTTACTGTCCCTCCACACATACGACTCGCTTCTGCTTCTATGCCCCATCTTTGTTTACCATTTCCCACCGAGGCTTCTAGACTTCTGATTGGCCAACATTTCTACACGGTTAGGAATATAGCGCCACCTGCTGCTTGGGCATGTTCCTAGCAGCGTTTTCCTTCATTTCTGCCTTTACGTGTGGACGGGATTATTTTTTAAAACGAAAACGGAAAATCTCCGTTTTCAAAAATACCCGTGTACGTGTGGACGTAGCCTTAATGTTGCTCTATACATCTGCAAGGGGACAGAGAGAGAGAAAAAAAAGGTCATTTACTTCAGCCAGACATCAGTCTGTACAAGAACATAATCACGTCTTAAAGGTAAGACACTGACTAGTGTGTTTTAGTTAATATGGGTTACTCACAATCCATTATTTAAATGAATTATCTTTATTCCAAATAAATACCTACTTTATAACTTTCCTCACACACAAGCGATACAGAACAGTAGGTTAACCTATTCTGAAATCAGCGCAGTGATTTTTAGATGCTAAACCCCGGGAACCACTTCAAAGTGTAGGACAAGAAGCCTTACTGCACAAACCCAGAGAAATAAAACCTTTCTTCAAAATATCTGGGAATAAGATATTTTCTTTAAAGTGTGGCTTCGTCATTACAACGTATTTCACCAAATCGCTAAAAAAAAAAGAGTCAGTGTCATCTATTAACATATCACCACAAGAGCCAACAAAAAAGCCTCTTGCTACAAACATTTTTGATGAGCACATGTCTGAACACTATCAACGTTAATGTGAGAGAAACGACTTTAAGGTAACAGGTGTTTCTGTTTTTGTTTACACTGTCATTTTTTTCATTAGCACTCGGAAAAAAAATGTGTGAAAAAAGGAAAAAGTGAATCGTGGTGATTTACACAAAGGCACTGTGTGTCTCAACTCCAGAGAGAGAACCGTTTCAAAGACATGGACTTCCCATGTGGATGAGATGCTGTACACATTCATGATTTTTAATTTTTTCCCCCCCATGCATTACCCTGCAGTCCGGAAAATCTGCAAAGATCTGAAAGGCTTTGCTTATTACTTTTAAAACAGGACCCAGAGATAAATTACAGTGACTTGGGCAGGAGTAATTAATTTACCAGAGTCTGAATGCGACTGCCTGATTTCACTGGCCTTCCCTGCAGCGTATGAAGCAGACTTCTCACTGTCTACTTACTCTGTCGCGCTCCACGTTCGGCTGCAATACTCAAAACATTAATTTAAGACAAGCTACAATGGAATTCAGAACATGCTGTGACAAAGGTGCAAACTGAATCACGCCGAGAACTCCCTCTGGGCTCATCAGCATTCGTTGTTTTTTGATTCAGCCTGGGGGAGTAAGAACCATTGTCAAGTCCATTTTGAAATATTTTTGAGGAGGCCAACTACTTTTCAGTTGAATAATTAATCAAAATTTTCCCAATGTGAATATTTTACATAAAGTACAAATCCATTAGGGTCTGAAGCCTCAGTTCTACACGGCTCACGGCAGCTTTTAGCCAGTGACATTTTCAGAGTATCAATCAGCCGCAATCTCAAAGAAAATTATGGCTCAACGCTTTCACATTAAAGTTTAGCTGAGTGGTTGAGATTGTAAAAAGCAGGCACAATTTGCTTTAGAAAATCCACTTGGTGACTGCAAACTGTGCTTTTGCTAGTCAGTGTTTGGCACCCATGAAGTAGGCAGAATCGGACAGGAGCGAGAACCATCTCAGCCGGCTTTGTTTCGATTGAATATTGGAGCAAACTGTTAATCTGCTCACTAAGTACAGCTGAATTACATCAGACCTGATCCAGACTGATACAGTAGGCTTTTAGTCCAGTGGAAAATAACTATGTAGGCTAAAGTTTCTAAAGCTCCTAAGTCTCTAAATCTGATATTTAAAAAACCCCAAAAAAACGCTACTTATTTGTATTTTTATTAGTACAAGACTCGTTTTATAAGTCACCCTTGAAACTGGTAACTAACTGTGATCTCTTCTATTTAGTACTTTCTTTGCAGAAGGCTGACAATACAGTAAACACATCTTGTTGCACTTAAATCTGAATCTGTGTCTTCCTCACTTTCCGGTCAAGTATGACACATTCCCCACTGTGTTTACATTCCACCTGAATAGCTAGCACAGATGCTCCTCCTCTTTATTCATTTTGCAATCTGTAGTGGTTTTTGGCCTTCCCTAAAAGCTCTTTGCCATCTCAGTTAGAGAGATCATACCAAGTGCACTTGATCTTCCCACTCAGATGAGCTGGTGCTTGGCAGCTGATCAGACACAGAGTCACATCGCGGAGTGTCGACGTGGCACACCTTTGAGCCTCTGCGCTCGGCATGGCCTCCGCTTGCGTCATGGGCTCCCATGTAAGGTAGCGGCATGGTGTCCAGCCCCACTAGATCTAACTGGGTCGGTCTCTCAGCGACAGTGCACTCCTTCTCCTCCATCTCACTCAGCCTCTGAGAGCAGAACCCCACATCTGCCATCACCTCCTGAGGCTTCCTGTTTTCAGGGAAGACGACCACCCCAACCTTGTCATCGTCTTCTCCTTCGCCCCTATGGAGTGAACCCGGGACTGAGTCGCTGTCACAGGAGGTTGGGGGTACCAGAGTGATACCTTGAGGATTCATGTCATGAAACCAAGCCATGATATTGCCCAGCAGGTTAGCGTTTGCTGCTAATGCAGAGGATGAGGATGGGTCGTGGCTGCCACATGTGGTTGAGTCTGTTGTGTCGGTGGAAGAGAAGAGGCCTGTTGAAGAGCTGCTGCCACCGGGAGCCACTGGTATGGGCACAGAAGCACCGTATGCCCGATGATGACTGTCACCGTGCTGTACAGGGATAGCAACACCGGTGGCAGCAGAGTACTGGCTGCTGATGTTGCCAAGTTTCGCCAAGTTATCTCCCAACTCCAGCAGTTCTGAGCTGCTTAGAGAAGCTCTGGGGGGGACCTCGATGCCTGGAGCACTCTGCTCAAGCCTCGAAGGCAGGGAGGTGCCAATAGCGCCGAGTGAGGCTTCGTTGGCAAGTACTTCATGACTGGACACACTCCCCGCCATCCCTGAGTCCTGGAGTGACAGCTGAATAGCCAGAAGAATGTTGGGGTCATCGTCATCCAGCGAACCCAGACCCTGCAAGAATAAAAGGATCCAGTGTCGTAGAGCATCAGCAGTTTTCAAACTTAACTTTAAGTATAACCTGCAGCACCTATTTAAAAAAAAAAAGTTAACAGTAGCAGCAGATGGAGATAGTGACAAGGCAAGGAAAATAGCAGCTGCTGCAGTTTTGACACTTTGACACACAAACCTGAAAGCAAAGACAGCTTTTCTTTATAGCTGCTTTGTTGCAGTCTGCTCACAGTGGGTTTTAAGGTTTTACATTTTCAAAACTATCATTACCACTCACTCTGTGTGTATATATAAAGTCCCAGCACACAACATCGCTGCATCACTCAGTATATTTCAAGTCATTCATGCCCCAACCCCAGTCCAAAAAAAAGAAAAAGAAAAAGAAAACCCCGTAGGTTTCAGTTTCAAATATTACTCTTTTATTAACTGAACATTTGGTGAACTAGTGAATATGAAAAAGCTAAGAATCAAGACGACTTTAATAATTCACAGTACTAAGACAAAAATGCCTTCAGGAATAATTTCAACTACATTACTGTTTGAGCTCGAGATAAATGTTTACTCACCATCATAGGACCTTGCCTGCGTCCACTTCCAGCATCCTGTGTGTCTTTATAGGAAAAAAAGGAACAAAGAAAAAGTCGAACCTGGTTATTGAACTAAATCAATGCAGGATAAATCAATTTACTCAGTTTAATCTACTGCTAAGATTTCAATTTAGTAACATAATCTTGAGTTTAGTCAAGACACTGATGAAGGACCAGCAACCCGTCACAACCCCAGGAACTGCACTAACTGTATCTGTATCTGTGAGCAATTCCTCTTTCCTCACAAAACAGAACCTATTAGCTACCCTCCAGTTTTATCTATTGTTTTCAGCCCATACAGCCTAGATAAAAGTACCACGATGATGGAGAAAAACAAAAGATAAGAAATGCTTATTGAATTCAAGCAAGTGTCATTTTTCCAGAAGCTCTATTTTGGAAAAACTAATTAGTAAAAATCAATATTTCTAAACAAATAACTTAACTGAATCATTGCAGTGCACGTGTGCTTGTTTAAAAAAATAAAAAATAAACAGATCTGGAACTGATTGTAAGGCCTGAATTCACCGAAGAGCTTTGAAATGTTACCATTTAATTGTCTGTTTAAACAGACAGTTCTTTAAAGTAAGACATTCTTAATCCACACAGAGCTAGAGCCTTAACTTGAGTGCAAGAAAATAAGGCTTGAGGTAAGGAGGATGATGATAAGGTGGAAATGACAGGGGAGAGAAAGCGGTAGTGAAGGACGAGAAAGAGATAACGAAAACATCAGCCACTGTATTCAAGATGGTGGGGCTTCGCAAACCTGCACCTGCTCTTATGCAATTTTGATGGATTCATTCAAAGCCAATAAGACTGTGACTTTAAAACAAATTATAAAGCAACAGAAATGTGTGTTTATAGTAACAGAGACTTTAATACTTTCTTTGGCATTTCTTCCTCACCCTAGTAATTTAACTGTAACTTGTCTACAGCGTTTTTCACTTCTTTGTAACATCACAATTCAAACATGGAAACAAACATCATGAGTCATGCTTCTATTCAACTCATCCTTTGAATTACACGCGTCACTAATAAAAAGTCAAAAAAGAAACAAAAATCAAAGTTAATCACAATGTGAGAGAACAAATCAAGAAAGTGGGAATCAAGAAAATCAAGCTCTCATTTAATCTCATTCTATACTTTCAAACCACACCATCACTAAGATGAACTTCAATAGGTCTTTTCTGCAGTATCTAGTTCTCAGTTTATTAATGTCCTACCAGAACAGTTTCAGATTAGAATAACTCTCATTTCTAGAACTGACTTCTATAAAACTTCCTATCACATGTACACAGTACTTCCCTATATCTATCTTTAAATAATTTTCTACTCAAAAGATCATTCCACCTTAAATGCTTCGTACCAGCCATTACAAATTGCACTTTTGACCCATTCCATCCATCTGTTGGGTTTTTGTTTTTTCCATGCTGCAGCCATTTCAGGATGTATTCCAATTGGACTGATAACAAATGTGGGCTCGATCTTAATTAATCACACTTTTAATGAATATAAAAATATTCTTTTCACTAAGTGTTTCACAGTCACACTGCACTATTAGAAAAATGTATCCATGATTAGAAACAGAGAAGGTCTCATTTTTTCCCAAGAATATAGAATAGAATTTTGACGTTCTATTTTAATTAAGATGCAGTTTTGATCTATTATTCTGATCTATTATTCTGATCTATTATTCTCTAAGCATTTTTTTTTGCCGAGAGCCTGAAGCAGCTGTGATTATAAGAGATGACCAATTTAAGTTAATTTAGCTGAACAGTCGATCAAATCTACCTGAGGGCCATCGAACCCTGCTTTAATGAAAGAAATACAACTCAAGGGAACTTTCTAAACTTTACAAGAAAACTTATTTTATCTTTTATACACAAACAATCAAAATCTTTTGTAAACACTGCAAACCTTGAGGTGTCTAAACTGCGCACTTTCTGTGTACCAGATAGTTGTTATAGTCTCAGGCGTTTGGACCCAATCTAAAAATCAGACCAACTAGAACCCAGAGATTTTGCATTCACAACATTCAGATGGATCACACGATAAATTCACATGGTAACTTAAGCTATGCAAATAACAAGCTGTGACAAGGGAGAAAAATTGAATATCACAATGTGAAATAGCCATCACAGGAGAAACCCTGTGTAAAGTAAAGTACCTAAAGTGCTGTCGCTGAGGTCGTCAGGGTCAGGTGTGTTGCTACGGAGACTGGACATGTCGCCTCGCCGCCTCTGCCTATGCCGCCGTCTGTACTGGAACTCTGCGTACTCCTTAAAATATAACAACAATCATTACTATAACAATGCAATGAAGGAGATTTGTACAAGGAAACTGATTCTAGCAGGTTTGAGTTAATAACTCTGTGTGTTTGTGTGTGTGTGTGTGTGTGTGTGTGGTTGGGGGAGACTATATGCAGGTCTTTGATTCATTCACTAACTGAAACCGACCTTCTTGATTAGCTATGTCTTACAAACACAAGACGAACATTATGTGGGTGTGCCTCTATACTCATGAGAAAATATCTGATAAGCAGGGTGTAGAGCAGTCTGATGCCTGAACCTTTGGTTAACAGGGATTATTTGCACATCAGCTTACCTCACTACTTGAAACTTTGGTCAGATTAGCATGGGAAAAAAACGTGGCAAAGGAAAATAGTTCCTGTTTATCCCAGCACACAGGTCTTATTTTGAGATCATATGGAGTCTATGCTTTTCTGGTTGACAGCTACTTTGACTGCACAGAAAGATGGGTGGTCTTAACCGTTTGGCTCATTGGTGTGTAGCTCTTCAAAGGGAAAAGCAGTGAATTTGTCTGTTATCTAAATCAACTCAAGCTAACATTTTTGAAATGGAATTCCTGTAAAGTCGAAGTCATAGATTTAAAACTGTGAGATGGCACTCATCCGTAGTCAAGTGCCAAACGAATGAAAACTCCAGTGCTGTTATCCCTCTTAAAGTACTGATAAATGCATGACCACTCACATGAAAAAGGCTACATACACCAAATCAACATATCAGTACCTCTGCACTCTTTATTCAATCATCTCAACTGCCAAAGTCACTGAGTAACATGCAAATATCATCAAAAGCAAAAGCTCTTTCATGCGTCCACTGTGCTAAATATAACCCACTGTGAAGTGATGCAGGTTTTATAAGAAGCTTGGGGGAGACATATGTAAGTGTGTGAGGCAGTGTCATCTGGCTTTGTTACTATGGTGTTACCAACTACTGACAGTGACTGAGAGAGAAGCTTTTAGCCAGCAGGCAAAAAACAATAACAAATAAAAGCTTGGTGTTCAGCATCTGCCATCAGTATCTACTGTATGTCTATATTAGTGTGTTCCAAGCTAAATTTAATCTTTTTTGCAACATAAATACTTGCATCAGCTGGCCTATGTATTATAATCATTAATGTTATTGCACAGTATCGATGCACATTAAAGATAGAGATAATTAGTAGTTAGCAAAATCAATGCATGCAGGGATCTCCAGCTTGTTAAGAATGTCAACCAATGAGAGACAAAATAATGGCACATTTTAGAAGAAGCAAAAAACAAGAGCCGCTGTATGTAGTTTTGTTATCATGTCAGAAGACAAGTTACTGTTTTAGATCTGTTGGCTTAGTTTCTTGGCGGATTTGAATAATAATAATATTTTCTGTGGTGCTTTCCTGACAACAGATCTTTTTTAGCACACATATTTTGACTAGTCGTTGTAAATGAAGTGCAAATGTATAAATGTGTTTACATTCCATTTACGGAGGGTCCTACTGTACCGCATGCCGCTAAGTGACTTACAGGGCTTACTGGTATATTTAATGTAACTGAGTCATCTTTAATTCATTTTGTGCTTTATTTACTGATACAATTCAAAACATCCCCCCTTAAAATGTCTATTGGCCATTGCCAGCTTTGAAATGTTATAGGATTTGCACAGAAACCCCAGAGGCTTATTTTGATGTGAGATTTGAATTTTCAGATAGAAGCTACACGAGCCTAAGCCGAAAGAGTGATGATGCTCTTAAGCTGAGCAAATTCTTCTGAAAAAAGAACTGCATGTTTAAGAACTGGCACAGTCTAGAAAAATCAATAACAGACTTGTAGTAGTATCTGCAATGTACTGACATATGCACCATTACCAAGTGCATACATCACGCTGGGCAGAAAAAGAAGACAGGTCAGTAATCAAACCATTATGTGGTCGACACTTTTATGACTCTAAGTGTTAACTACAAACACCTGTTACTAATGTGTAATGATAAGGCGGAACCTACTTAGGTGTTCGCCAGCATACTGTGCTTTTAATCATTCCTGACGGTTGCACAGGGAACACTGAACCATCTGGCTTGCTCCAGTGTGTTAAATAACATGCCGATCTCTGGGTCACCAGAAACGTTAAAATGATTTAAATATACATACTGACTTTATTAAAAGATGTCATATGACACAATTAATTACACAACATAATTATATCTAATTATGATTTATATTTCTGCAATAAATAAAGTAATTTCTTGAAACAATAAGTACTCTCTATTAGAAGAAATAAGTGGCATTACAAATCACAGGCACTTGCTGAAAGGGCACTGATTAAATTAATATTATGCATAATATATATATTTTTTTACAGATATAGCTATACTATACTATACTGTATAGGGCAAACATCACGGCATCAATAACACTGACAGTTCATGATATTAAAAATTCCACATTAACAAAATTAAACTTCCAATGACATGCTGAAATCTGGGAGTGGCTCCACTATTACATTCAAGAACAGTAACGACAGGGGGAAAACAAAAAACAAACAAACCTTTGTTATCCAAAAATAATTTGTGACCAAAAGAGCCTTTGGTCACAAGGTCACTTTGAGAAAAATTTACATTTTAGGATTAACATGTCTTTTTCTTCCTAATTTGTACCAGTAAGTTTAATAATGAGTCCAAATGTGGTTTCAAAGCACTTCAGAGCACACGGCAACAACCTAAACAAGCCAGAAGCTGGTTTTGTTTAGAAACAGTGGCACCAATTATGATATGTGGGTGTGAGTGTAAAGGGCAGCTGCAAGTAAACCTGGACCAATACAATTATCTGGCTACATTTGTTAGCTTTAAGTGAATTATTTTTTGCTAAAACAAATGGGAATCACCAACTCTTACTATGTACCTCTAATCTGTTTAAATAACCCAATCATCTGACAAGGAAAAACCATCATCGGCTAAACCACTCAGTACACAAAAAGACAAATGCATTTTGTTCAAGTTTACAGTCCAACCAATCAGCTATTACCTCAGGTGATGCAAAGCCTAAATACTCCCAGTCCCACGTTCCACCTGCAAAACTGCAAAAGACAGAAATTAATGGCAAACTTGTGATAGCTGAAATCACACAGGAATTGGCTCTCAAACTAAAAAATTTTTTAAAATATGTTATTTTAACAAAGTTAGGTACTGGTCTGTATGCTACCTTCGCCTTGGGGCTTCAGGTGAGTCATTAGGGGCCACTCCCCTGGCTACTGAGGCCAAAAACTCTTGCCTCTTCTGTTGTACCAGACAAGCCGCACGGATGATCTTGTGGCGTGGTGTTCGCAGGTAAGGTCTGTTAACCTTTTGTGCCAAGTCCTCAGTCACCATCTCCAAGTCCGTCTGGGGGCAGAAAGACAGGTGACTTAGCAATCACAGTGTACACATGCAGGATTTGAAGTTTCAATTTAACAAATGTAGTTGTGGGGCAACTGTTTATGTATCTACTTAAAAAAAAAAAACTATTACTTTTACAGGTGTTTAAGGAATTGTAAGACCTATGGGAGCCGTGCCGATTCATTCTCCAGCATCTGAAAGGCCACATTATAAAAACTAGCAGGAAAGTACATCCTGTATCTATATGGGTGATCATAAATTATACAGCACTAGATGTTTAACTAAAAGCTGAGATGTGCAGATATAACTGGGGAAGATTGTGAGAATCATGCAGTAGAAAGCTTTAGTCTCCCATATCTAATGGCCTAGACCACTGTGAACATTTGTCTTTCCTCTCACTAAGTAAGCCTGAAACCTGCATAAGTTCGTAGATCTCTTTCTTTGTGCTTTTGGGCTCCAGAAAGAAGCCATAAGGATAAGAGCACTTGAGGATGCGGCGAGTCTTTAGTAGTTCTAGGACTGCATCTTCAATGAATGTAGTGTCAGGTGGGCCTCCTTCCCCTGGGAAAGAGAAGGGGGAGAGTCAGATAACAAACATGAATATGGGATATGCTTTTGTACGGGACTTTCTTTACTCTGCCTCAATTACTTCACTTTGCTTTTAAGCCGATTGGTATTACATGACAAGAAATCCTGAAACAAAGCATATGAAAGAACTCCTTGACTGTACTAAAGCACATGAAGAGACTGCACTTTTAAGTTATAACTGAGGTGTCTAGTATGATGAGAAGTCTGGGCCAAGAATACTGCTGGCCTTTGATGAATAGTGACTTATAATTCACTTTTTAACAGCTACTGAGATTTAAAAAAAAATTTGGAAGCTAAGGGAAAATCATTTTCGTCTCATTTGAATAAATCTTTTCACTAAATGTGTAAATTAGCAATCCAGACATGCTGAATAGAAGACAAATTTATATCTGAAATAGAATTTTTATCTGCATCTCAGATTCTGAACAGCATCAGAAAACACAATAGTGATGGCCAAAACTGATTATTGGAGACTAAAAGCTGTCAGCAGTCGTATTATGTAGGATAAACTGTGCAAACTTTCAGTTAAGCCAAACTCATGAAGACCAACTTGGAACCTTTTCCATTTCTGCCAGCTGACAGCCACCACCACTATGTGAGCTAACTCCACTGCAATCAGAATCTACTGTTTTACCTGATGTACATCAGCATCACTCAGATAACTAGTCAGGCAGAAACTCCCTTTACTGACATGGTTTTGAAAAAGTCAAGTTAAAATGTTATCTTTCTTGTAACCTCACACTACTGAATGCTTAAACCAATACCCACTGTTGTTAAAATAATATTAAAACACCTCAGTTTTCTATCCCTTCTCCTCTACTTCCAAAAGCTCAATATTAAAGAACTGAATTAGGATTGGTATAATACAGGTTGACACCGTTACGGCAGACTGCATACTCACTTCCACTTAGTGCTCGACTAAGCTGCTCCATCTTCTCTTTGGCTGTTTTTAACAGACGCTGCTCTAGCTAATGGGAGAAAAACAGAAATGTTACTCAATAACAAAACTTATCTTGAGGTTCCTGCTAAACCACGCAATAGAGAGAATGCTATGTGAGACCAAATAAATTAACAACAGATTTATTTGTGATGAACAGAATGCAAATATACTGTATGTTAGTTAGAGCACTGGAGAGTATCCAAACTATGGGTCATGCACCAGTTTTACACAAATTCTCACTGTCTGCATTCATTGCATAACAGCTGCAAATGCAACATCACTGGAAGACAAAGTCTGGTCTGTTTACCTGATAGCTGTGCTCGTGGTTCTTGAAGCGTGTGTAGTAGTGCATAAAGCGGTCGAGTTCCTGAAAGCTCTTGTGTTTTTTCTCAGCCTGCAAAACAGTGATGAGACACCAGCCACAGTCAAACTCCTGAGCATGGTGTTTCTTCTCACAGAGAAAGCCTAAATACTTTAACTGTAAGGAGCAAAAGTAAGTCCACCAAATGATACTATTTATGTGTGACTAGAGAGTACACGAGAGACTGGTCAGTGACCCTCTGGCAACCAAATGCAAACAAGCGCAACGTTGTTTACCTCTTTGCAAGCAGTTTCACTTAGTAACAGCAAGCAAACCCTTCCAACGAGTTGCCAGCCAGTCAGAGAATATACATCTTTCAATAATAACGACTGGTTACCAGGAGGTCAGTGACTCTTGACGTACATGACTGTGGTTTTAGCAAATGATTTCACAGTAACTGCTATTAAAATCGAGCAACCATTGGCAACAAGCAGGAAATATTTTTCCCTAGCAACCAGCAGTTGCCAGGTAGTTGCCAACTGGCGTCAAGGCCTACATTACTATATACCTGTGTGTTATATACTTCAGCTGCTCAACTCCTGATCGTGTAGGAGTTTGCAAACAGACAGAGACTTGGTGTATTACAGTAAGACTGGGTTGTGCAGCAAAATAGAAAATCTGTAAATAATTAACAATTCCATCATGCGTTTCCAGGAAAATTCCACCAATTTTATGTATCGCCATTCTCCAGGCCTTGGAGAGTACTACTGCAGATGAGTAAACAGTTATATCATTTCTTCTGTGGTTCCACAGGGACTTGCACAACTGATAAATTGCTATAAGTAATGTCACTTAGGTCAATGTCTGAGTTTGAGAAAACAGAACCAGAAAGCAAGCTTACTACAGCTCTGTAGACGGTTGCTCGTTTTAAATTTAGCTGAGGAGCTTGAAGGTTATATTACTGGCTACTAGGACAAGTGGAAGCACATTCTGGTTAATGTATGCATGGCTTGAATCAGAGGAAGAATTAGTGAACTTAAAACAGACACGAGTTTATAATGCACCAAGTTTTCTGCTTTTTTGTTGTGAGTCTGATAATGGTGTAGGAGTACAATGACAAGTTGCTGAAAGAGTCATGACGTTTAGGAATAAAATACAATATGAAACAACCCCAGCCCCACTCCTTTAGGACATTCACTCTACATCATCATAACAGAGGGCTCCCCCAGTAACAACTGCCATCACTCAGCTCTGCTCCCTGTTGTTACATTATACCACTGTTGAGTCATATTTTACAAAGTGTTCGGTTAACTGGGCCGAAAGCGTTTAAAATATGAAAACACAGAGAATGTAATAATATCGTGTTAACATCTAGAGTGTATGCATGTACCTCTTCAGTCATCTCCTTTGACTGCTCCTCCACCTGCTGGATGACCTCATAGCGAGTGCAGCGATAGTAGCCCCCTGTAGATGAGCTATGCTTTTTCCATTCCTCCAGACAGATCCAGCAGAAATCGTACTTACACTACAGGGAGAGAGAACAGCTCTGGTCAGCTGTCACATCAAAAAATGGAAAGCCAATTACTAATGCTACTCCTGCTATACTGGGGTAATTTACATTTAATGACAAAATGAAAAAGACACATTTTTTTTTTTTATAATTGCTGTCAGAGAAAAACAATTATCCTGGTATATGAAATGACAGCCAAAACGATACCTCTCCCCATCTACAGACATGTTTTCGTTAATATCCCCATCCAAAGGTGAGAATATCAGACTGACCCGACATCAGAGCTCAGTTGATGTGCTGTAACCTCTTTGAGTTATCAAGCACAGATCTACCAGGACAGAAAGGCACCTTTTTTTTCCAAAAACACATCCTTTGTAAAAAATCATAACTGAATTATAATTAAGGGTCAAGGACTTCTAAGACTCACTAAACTAATGTAATCACCTGTATCCATTTTATCTCTTTCGTCTTCTCATCCATTTCTTTTTCTACAGTGTACAAGTAGCAGGTGTTTGAACAGAGTCGTGAATCCTTGTAGCCTGCTGCCACTAGAAGGCACTCAGACTGCATTTGAGAGCAGCAGGTCCCGATGGAGAAAGAACAACAAAACACAGCAAAACACTACAGCCTCTGCAATCTGGAGCCTATTTGGGTATAAGTGATTTCTCCATGCTACAAGCACTTCTGTTGGTGACAGGTTAGCTGGAGTATCACAAAACCTTAAGGCTGAGGCCTCAGTTGTCCTGGAAACTCTCTGCTTATATGACACATCAGAAAAATCAATACAAAATCAAGGAGAGTGAGGGGACATGAATGGGTGGATGGAGAGACACAAAAAGACATGTGAAAGAGAATCTTGAGACAAGAAAAAAGCGTCAAGCCACACCAGAGAGGATGAAATGGCAGCGAAAAGACAAAGGTTCCTTAGCAACACTGAGTCCCGTGTTTCCAGGCAACAGGGGTAAAGCCGTTTCTTACCAGGTAATAACAGGTCAAGAGGCTGAGCCCTCTGTGGCCTCTCAGCTTGTGAAAGCCACTCCATTCACCCAAAACTAATGTCCATCTCTAGTCAGCCTATTTAACCAGTGCAAACAGTGACAGGGGTGTCAGAGAGACAAAAAGATCTTTGCTGTATGACTGCACTGCCTCCCCTACAGCAACAGTGGTAGTAACAGAGACAAAGTCAAGCAACATGACTATGTCTGATTGCTGGTCTCACTCTCTCCCTTGACCATCCATCCATCCTCTTCCACTTATCCAGGTCCAGATCACAGGGATAGCAGTCTAAGCAGAGATGCCCAGACCTCCATCTCCCCAGATACCTCCAGCTCATCTGGTAGGATACCAAGACATTCCCAAGCCAGCTGAGCCGAGAGACATAATCTCTCTTTCAGACCCTGGTTTTACCCTGGGGCTTCCTCCCAGTTGCACATGCCTGAAACACCTCAGGAGATGTCCGGGAGGCATTCTAGTTAGATGCCCACCTCAAGTGGCTTCCTTTTAATGTGGAGAAGTAGCAGCTCTACTTTGATCTTTTCCCGAGTGACCAAGCTTTTCAAATTATCTTTAAAAGAAAGCCCAGATGACCCTTGGAGGAAGCTGATTTCCATCGCTTAGATCCATAATATAATTCTCATTTACTTCCTACAGCTATGGCCATAGATGGCCTTCATACAAACCTTTTTGGTAATTTCACCCAATTTAACCCTGTATTATTCACACTGGTGGACCAATACAGAAGCTATCTGCTAACATGTAAACATGACAGCATGCATTCATACTGTAATTACACATACATTTCACAACATCAACAGGTACCTTAGTTGCCCCTTTGCTATGCACACTGCATTTCCTTTAAAAAGGTGTTAAGTGAGAACAGAACAGTATAAAACAGAGCTATTCTAATAGTCTGATCTGACAGAACTCAGAAAGTTGTAGTCATCTGCTAGACAGATCATGTAATACCATTGTGTATAAATACTACAACTTGTCTTAAGCGTGGTGTAAGAAAGAGAAAGGCTTGTGGAGAATCAGGAGTAAAAATGGCTCATTCTAGTGTTTAAAGAGCCATCTGTACAACTGAAAATGAGATTTTGACATTTATACGCATACTATGTGCAAATAAAGTTAATCTCCCACCTGACAGTTTGTTTGCACTGAGAACAGTACTTTACATAAAAGCCCTGAGTTATTATATCATTGCACTGTATGATAAAATACTGTGTCAATTTGTAAATGCTTCTTGGTAAAAAAAAAAAAAAA